CTAGGGCGCGATTTATATAGGAAAGGTGTACTACGTATAGTTCAAAATGGGAAATGACGACTCGTTATTTAACAGTTAAGCAGAATGATCAAACAAATTAAGAATTAAATGGTCAAGACCGCGAGAACATTTTTGGTACGGTTGATCCTTGACCCTGCATTGTATACAGTTATTTTTACCGAGTACAAAGCAAGGTCAACGTCCAGATTATGATGTATACATAGATCTATATATTTACTTTACGACTTGACCGATCCGATTCAAATCTGAAGATACAAGCTTCATTTGATATTAAGTTCTATATTCATTCTTTTTTTTTCATTCACGCCTTTTATTGTCTTAATATTACTGACAACTTGCCTATGGACATCAAATTAATAATCTAATCTAGAGTTGCGCCCTCTGTCAATGAAAGCATGTGTAAAGCTAATGTCAGTCAACACGGCCATACAAGATTGCAAGAAGACGATAACGAAGACGACGACGATTTTCTGTCTGAAATATTGCGGTGGTGAATTCGGTTAATCCTGGAATTGATTTGAATTATTCAGACACCAGAAACTTCCATCTTCGTACACGTGCTTGTGTGAACTGTGTCTCGTGATCTTTTTATTTTGTGGCAATATTTATTACCATCAACATTGGAAATACCTAGTGCGCCCTCTGTGATACAATTTGTAGTGAAAAAGTCAATGTGGATTATTTTATTTTTTTAGAATTTTAAAAAAATTATATTGTATATTACACATCTATAAATACATTAGATGGCGATTTACTTCAGACGTAGCAGTATTTGTTCGATGAAGTATGAAAGAGTTGAAGTCAGTGCGCATGCGCTTTTGATTATCTGTACGCATCAGTAAATGCAGTGTACATGCCAGTTATCATTTCATCGAACACGTATAGTAACTGCACGTTTAGTGCAAACGTGTTTCCCCTCGTGTCCCTATACACCCCACACGTCTCTGAATGATTTAAACGTGCTCACAAAAATGTACATTACCTCTTTAGTGGGTCA